TGTGTTGGAATTAAGCAGAATTGGAATTAAGGCAAATTATTTCTACATCTATAGTAATTTGAAAGGAAGAAGCAGATAGAGAATATGAATATCAAACTTTAGTCATTCCTGTAGAATATTATTCATAAACTCACCATTAAAGACCACAAAACTCTTGAATCCACTGGAAGGATATTTTCACAGAAACTTCACAAACTAGCCATCTTGACTTGTAATAAACATTGATAGATTCATCCTGCATGAATGTATCTGACCCTGAAAATCCACAGATGCATTGTAACAAGAGAGCACCAACTTTCATGAGTTACAGTAAATGCTGCACAAAATAGCATTTTAGGCAGTTTCTTCTTGTCCTTCCTGAACTCACAGCTGTTTTTACAATCCTAAACCACCAAGTAATCATAGTTTTCTTCAAGACTTATTCTGTAGTTCCAACTTTTAAAAAATTGATTTGCTGTAGTGATTTGAAAGGAACAAACAGGTAGACAATATACTGCATCAATCCCATTGAACACCTAATAAAAACAAGCTTATTTTGTTGGAAAGATACTGTCAATGGAAGAAAAAAAATGTGACTTCACATATATGGGTTAGTCCACTTTTTATAGATGAGAAAAGGACACAGTGTGTAGTAGAGCACAAATTAGTATGCTTCCTTTTCCTATTTCTTTTAATCTCTTCTATATAGTTGGACTATGACAGAGACTGTTTTTTCAGCATTTCTCTCCACTGTGAACCAAATTCAGCCTCTGCTATTGCAAGAAATGAATACTTCAGGTTTAATTTGGTATACGGTGTTCGTTTCAAATTGCAGGTTAATGATGATTAATAACTACTGTTGACAAGATATGGTTTGTTTAGCAAAGAGAAACAAGAGGATTTGTATCATTCCACCAGGTCTGTTAGGTTTGGATAGTTTCAATAGGTTTACTATATAGAGACGGTTCTTACCACACATTGAACTTTACAAAAATAAATATGCATGTTGTGAACACTTAAGATGGCAAGTCATGTCTTGTTGTGGGTTGTATATAGGAAGAAGGGGAGAGGAAAACTGGGGGGTTTTGGGGGAGGGAAGTTGGTAATATCTTGGATTGTATCTGCCCCAAAACAATGATAGATTGCATTGCAGAACTGTCAGCATATTTTACTCTCACCAAGTTGGCAATCTTACACATTGATCTCCATAAATCTTACATCCTTAATAAAAAGTCTATTTCTATAGCTGCAGAACAGAGCATTCAATCCTTGTGAAATATTTTCTATCTTTGGGAATAGATTTTTAAACAAATAGCAAAATATCTTTTAGCTAATGACATATTCTTAAATATGAGCTGTGGTGGCGCAGTGGTTAGAATGCAGTACTGCAGGCTACTTGCCTGTAATTTGGCAATTCGAATCTCACCAGGCTCAAGGTTGACTCAGCCTTCCATCCTTCTGAGGTGGGTAAAATGAGGACCCAGATTGTTGGGGCAATATGTTGACGCTGTAATCCGCTTAGAGAGGGCTGTAAAGCACTGTGAAGTGGTATATAAGTCTAAGTGCTATTGATATTTCTATTAAAGATGCCAAAAAGTAGATCTGCAGTTTTTCTACATGGCAGCTATCAAGTATGCAATGATTTAAATCAACCAAAGTGAAGTTACACAGTGTGGGAAGATGCAGAAAATGCTGCCAGCTTTAAGCAGGACTGAACAATAATAAAATAGAGGTTCAGTCTGTATAGAGGTTCAGTCTATATAGAGAAGAGAGAAAGGATGTGGAGAACACTTCTCATCTCTGCTGTTTATCTCTCCCAATTTTCTCCCCATTTCTTCTGTCACCCATAGCAAAAGTGTCAGCAAAAGAGAAGAATCCTTTCCCACCTTCTTCCTCCATCTCTTTTCATGGGGAAGAAGTGGGATAACCAGTCTTCTATTTTCAATTCTCCAACTCATGCAATCATCATTTCAGGGATCAAGGAACAAGCAATGAAGAAATTGATCTTCCCTCTGTGAATTTTTTTCCCTAACACTCAGGCAAAACTGGGCAAAGAAGAAAGAATAAGTGGGAAGAGCCCCTATAGGAAGTGGGGTACAGCCAGCAGCCAAAGCAAAAATTGCCAAGGTTTTCCTTGCAAGACTGTTAGCTATTTCTGGTGGTCTGTAGAGATTCTCAGTTATCCAGGTTATGGTTGTCCCAAAGGTGCTTTTTTCAGAAGGCAACTGGACTTTCTTGTTCGTTTGTTTTTTTGAAGATGTTTCACTTCTCATCCAAGAAGCTTCTTCAGTTCCGACAGGATAGTGGGGAATGGAAGGATTTGTATTCCTTGCAGACAGCTGGTCATTTTCATCCTTTTGGGGGTTGTTGAAGCATTTGGAGGTTTATCTGTGTCCTCAGATAAACAGATTGACCCCAAGGACACAGACAAACTTCCAAGTGCTTCATGGACCCTCTAAAAGGATGCAAATGACCAGCTGTCTGCAAGGAATACAAATTCTTCCATTCTTCACTATCCTGTCAGAGCTGAAGAAGCTTCTTGGATGAGAAGTGACATATCTTCGACAGAAAAAACAAGGAAATCCACTTGCCTCCTGAAAAAGCACCTTTAAGACTACTTCTGATGGGTTTCCTACAGCGAAGCTCTGGAGCAGCTTCCTTGCAGAGATGTAAAATGTTATGTTTCTTTCTTTTTTTTTTTTAAAGTAATACCTTTATTAAATTTCAAAGTCAAATATTAAGATACAAATTAACTTAAAAGGGAAAAGGGATAGGGAATAGCAAAACAAATTAGAAGAGACCAAAAAAAATACGGCAAACCAATTTATCACAAAGATGATAAACTGTGGCTTTCTTTTAGTCGAGAGATAATAACAATTCAACAACGTCTCTCTACACTTAAGCAAACAATACCAATATCTTAAAATGACTCAACTTTAAAATATTTATATTCATAAAATATTCTTCTCTCAATTTTAATCTAACAAATAACAAATGGTCAAATGTGAAGTTAAATCACTGTTGACTCCTGGCAATTGCCTAGACTAGGCCCTGTGGTTTCCTTGCCAGTACTTTTGGAAGTGATTTGTCATTGCCTTTTTCCCAGGGCTGGGAGACAATGAGATTGATCAACTTCTCCTTTATGTTTTATGTGGTATGTTTTAACCTGTTGGGGATTTTATGCCTCACTTGCAATTCTCCATTTTTCAGCAAAGTTCGGTGTTCCAGAATGCTTCTTGTGTTTCTCAACCCATTGGTCATGGACAGATTTATTCCTATGAATTTCATTTAGCAGTCCTGGCTAAATGTCTCGCAGTTTCTCTCTGGCTGCTTATAACCTCGGTAAAGTCTTTTGCAGAACTCTATCAACCTAAATCATAAATCAATAGGTAGCCTACCCTTCCCACTCATCAAATATTGGCATGAACTAAGGGTAACTCGTATATTGAGTCCAGTTTTTCTTTCGTACAGATTTCAAAGCTACTAAATATTAAACATATATTTAGGGAAGGAGATGGGAAGAAGAGGGTGGGATGTTAATGACAGTCTAAGGATCAGTGTTTTTCCTGAGCCAAAATGCTGTTTTAGTTGTTTTTCATGTATAATGTAATCCTTTGCTATGTTTGTGTGCTGAGTTTTTGGATAGCTGGATCATATACATTGGTCAACGTAAACAAACAAACAAATAAATAAAATGAGGGAGATGTAATAAACTTTCAATGTAGGCTTGTCCTATGACAAATACCGGTAGTAGAGTTATGCTGAAGAGCCTCAGTGGTGCAGCGGACTAAGGTGCCGTTAAGTGCTAGCACTTAGCTGCCAGCTGCCTGCAATTAGTGCAAGTTCGAATCTCACCAGGCTCAAGGTTGACTCAGCCTTCCATCCTTTCGAGGTAGGTAAATTGAGGACCCGGATTGTGGGGGCAATAAGTCAACTTTGTATAGAACAACACCGTTTGGCAGGGGGGGCGAAAACACTAATAAGCAGGTATATACATAAAAGTATGCAGGCTATTGCTATCATGCATTGTAAGCCTCCCTGAGTCTACGGAGAAGGACGGCGTATAAATTGGACTAATAAATAAATAAATAAATGCTGGTATCTCCTGTGCTCATTTTGACAGACCACTAAACTCACAAACGTCATCATCTCCAGAAAAACCATGGTCAAATTCATCTTGAAGAAGCAACTGATATAAAATAATTATCTTGTAATTCCAATGTCCTTTTCTTCCTTTTTTTTTTTAAAAAAACTATATTTTACTATGGTACTATAGGAGTATTATTCAAATGATTACTTAAAATAGTATGGTTGGTCAATATTCCTATAATGTACTAGGTCAGTGATGGTGAACCTTTTTTTCCTCGGGTGCCAAAAGCACATGTGTACGTGTGACAGATGCACGTGTGTGCCAACACCCATAATGCAATGCCCCCCTCCAGGCCCCACCCCGGCACATGTGTGCGCGACCCCCCCATGCGACCCCCCCCATGCACGCATGATTGTTTTTGTGCTAGCAGTCCTCCCTGAAGCCTCCTGAGACCAAAAATGGGGTGTGGAGAGTGCGGGGCACCCCCATTTTAGTGCTAACAGGACTCCCTGAAGCCTCCTGGGACCAAAAACAGGCATGGGGGGCCCCGCTCCCCCCCCCACATGCATACACGTGCATCTCCCAACAGAGACCCAAAAATCAGCTGGCCGGTGGGAGGCGCATGGGCATACACAGTAGAGCTGACCTGGGCGTTGGCTCGCATGCCCGCAGAGATTGCTCTGTGTGCCACCTGTGGCATGCGTGCCATAGGTTTGCCATCATGGTACTAGGTAATTCAATTCACATTGTTTGCCCCAACTGATTATTGCAATGTTAAAGCACAATTTAAAAATTAAAACCTTGGTGCACCACTTTACTGCCTGATTTCCCACATAATCTTGAATGCTTGTTACATTTGTTCTTTTAGAAGTGATTGATAAGATGTGGTAAGAGAACATGGGTGAGGATTTAAATTCTTATCTCATTCCAGATGGATTCAACCAACAAGACTTCGGTTGAGGAATTTGTTTTACTAGGATTTGGAATTGGACAGCATAACCGTTTGTTGCTCCTCATTTTTTTCACTTTTCTCTATGTCCTCACTTTGGCTGAGAACATCACCATTATTACCTTGGTATTTTTAGACACCCATCTGGGCCGACTTCCGATGTACATCCTGCTGGGTAACTTCTCCTGGTTGGAAATGTGCTACGTGTCCTCCATAGTTCCTCGCATGATCTTTGATTTAGCAGTTCCTGGCGGCATCATTTCTTTCAAAGAGTGTTTAATCCAGTTCTACATCTTCTTCATCCTTGGAGGCACTGAATGCTTTTTCCTTTCAATTATGGCCTTAGATCGGTACGTGGCCATCTGCCACCCGTTGCACTACCCACAAATTATGTCTCAAAATGTCTGCTACATTCTGGTGGGTGTTTGCTGGATCCTTGGCTTTCTGTGGTATCTTGTTCCAGCGGCGTTGATCTCTAAGTTGTCCTTTTGTGGCTCCAATATCATTGATCACTTTTTGTGTGATGCTGTCCCAATCCTATCCTTGGCTTGCCCTCCACTTGGAATAGTTCCCGCTATGAGTCAGGTTTGCCTCAGTGGTTTGCTCCTAAGTAATATGGCATTTGTTATTCTGTCCTACGGCACTGTGATTTTCACTCTAATGAAGACGCCCAACAAAGGCAGTCGTAAGAAGGGCTTTTCCACCATCTCTTTCCATCTAATTGTGGTCTCGCTTTTCTATGGTTCAGTGACAGCCATGTATTTGTTACCAGGTGGAGAAAGTCAGTTTGGTTTCACTAAGGCAATGACTCTCTTCTATACCACGTTTACACCTTTTCTCAACCCTTTGATCTATTGTCTGAGGAACAATCAAGTGAAAGAAGCACTGAATACATTACTAAAGAGAAAGATGAGAGTCATATGGAACAAGGAATAGTCAAAAATTGTAGAAGAAAACTATGAACAAAAATTAAACACAACCACCAATGTGTACAGTCTAAACCAAAGGCATGCTTCTTTAATAAAACAGTATTTATGTCACACTGAAAAAAAAAATTCTAATGTCCAAGTAGGTCTTTAGTTACTACATGAATTTCATAATGCCCATCCATCCGACCACTAAGGTCAGTTCTGGTCCCATATTCTTCAGTTATTGTAAGAAACAGTTGTTAAACAGTTGTTAAACAAAGAATTGGAGAGAAAACTTATCAGATTGCCAGTTGAGCCCAAACTGGATGAATCAGTTCATATCCTAGAAAACATATAAAATCCAAAATCTTGATAAGGCAAGAGAAATAGGCTGAAAGTAAGAGAATGAAATCTAACAGAGGAAAGTTCACTTAGGGAACATATAAATGAACAGTTATAGGATAGAGAATTTAGTAATTGCTAGTGACCTTGGAATATTAAATGGAGACTGAATATGAGTGTGCATTTTGTGTGGCTTCAAAAAAAAAAAAAAAAGGCAAGTGAACCTTTAGACTGTGTCAAAAACACACACATACAATTCTAATGTCCAAGAAGGTCTTTGATTACTACATGAATTTGATAATGTCTACATGGATATACCACAAAGGTCAATTCTGGGTCCCATATTCTTCAATTGTTGTAAGAGACAATTAAAAATTAAACAAATTTAGAGAAAACTTATCAGATTGCCATATGAGCCCAAACTGGGTGAAACAATTCATATCCTATTCAAAATTCAAAATCTTGATAACGCTAAAGAAAGCTGAAAGTGACAAAATGCAATTTACGAGAGAAGCTTATTTAGAGAACATGAACAAATATAGGATAGAGAACATCTGATTGAGTAATGTGATCTTGGAATAATAAATAGAGGCTAAATATAAGGTTGTATTTTGTGTGGCTTTAAAAAGGGCAAGTGAATCTTTAGTCTCCAAATATATGTGTGTGTGTGTGTGTGTGTGTGTGTGTGTGTGTGTGTGTGTGAATTACAATTTTTCATTCAAAAATGAAAAATTCCTCCCTCCCTCCCTCCCTTCCCCCCTCTCTCTCTCCCTCCCTCCCTCTCCTCCTCTCTCTCCCTCCCTCTCCCTCTCCCCCCCAACCTCTTTCTCTCTCACACACACATACAATTCCTTTGTGTTAGAAAATTTTTTAGTTTAGGTTGTAGAGGTCAGTAAGATCTTGGAATGTCCCAGCAGCTACAATTAAGCCAGATTTCTTTTATCAAGGAAAATTTTTGTTTATTTAAAATCAATAAACTATTTACATTTTAAATCACAGAACATTGTGTCTTGGTCTTTATTTATTTCTGAGGTAAATGTGCCTAGAAAATAATCCCTTCTTCTCTCTTTTCTCCTGTGTGTCTCCTCTGTGTCTCCCCCAGTGTGTGTGGGTAAAGGGGGTCATATTTATAGAATGGCTAAGCCACTTCCCCTTCAGTCTCTTAGACAAAATGGAGGGAAAGTATAAACACAAAACCATCCTTCCAGTATAGACGGTGTGGTTCAGTGGCACTGTTTTAGATAATTATCTGACACTTTGTGCCTTTTCTGGTCTTTCCAGGGAAAAGCTACTAGTTTGGAAGAATTCTGTATTATAACAATAAAATGGCGAAGCAGCAGCCTTGACGCAAACAAGTTATTGGTTTGGAAGGACAAAGACTGGAATATTGAATATAGAAAGTTATGATCTTGAATTTGGTTGGCATGCATATTTATTTTATGAGAATAAAGTGGATAAAGTATTCAAAAGCCACATACTTAGGAACTCTTTGATGAGAGTTTGGAAGAAGCACCGATTCAAATGGGATTATAAAATACCGTTATGGCTGGATCTTGGTCATATCATGTGGAATACAAATATAATGTCACTCGGGGGGGGGGGTTATATAAAGAAGTTCTTTTTATGGATGGGGCAGATGGCAATTAAAGACATTAGAAACACTGTTGGAAGAAGGGACTAATTTAACTTGGTTACAGTATAATCAACTTCAACTGAGATGGAAAGACCAAAAAACTGGTATAATGATGCATGAAGAAAAATTGGTTAGACATATAAAAGAGAAAGATCCAATGCATATTAAGAGGGTTTATAATGTTTTGTTAGAAAGAGATTCGGAAAATGAATTGGTTAAAGATTGTATGATAAAGTGGCCGCAAAATTTTGCAGAGCCAGTGATGTTGGAAACATGGGAAAAAATATAGGTCCAGAATGTTAAATTTACACAGTCGCAGAATTTGAGGGAAAATTTTTATAAAATATTTTATAGGTGGCATTTAGATCCTAAGAAATTATCGTGTATGTATCCTAATGTTCAACCAAAATGCTGGAGATGTGATTGCTTAGTTGCCACATATTATCATATGTGGTGGACTTGTAAGAAAGTGAAGGGTTGTTGGATAAAAATTTGGTGGGTTATGCAAAATGTTTTGAAGAAAAAACTACAGTTTTCTCCACAATTGTTTTTATTGGGTATAGTTAAGGGTTTCACATTGGATGAAACAAAGTTGATATTGTATATGGTGACAGCAGCGAGATTATTGATACGTCAATATTGGAAAAATGATGTTATGCCTACTATTGAAGAATGGATTATGAAGATGGCCAATTTTGCAGAAATGGCGAAGATCTCAGCATATCTAAAAGATCGGACTCAAGAGACTTATGTATGGGAGTGGAAAAAGTGGATAGATTATGTGCAGAATAAATATCAAACTAGGAAATATCAGATAGCTTTTAACTGAATGTACTATATAGGGATAGAATAATTGAATTTTATGAAGATTTGAATAATATACAGGGGGCGGAGGGGTTCAAGTTTTATAAAATGTGATTTTGATTTGGATTATATTTTGAGGAAGTCATGGGGGAGGGGAGGGTTAGTGTTAGGGTCAGGGAGGGTCGGGGGGGAAATTGGGGAGAAAATGTATTTGTAAAACTTTTTAAATAAATAAATAAATAATAAATAAATAAAATAAATAAATAAATAAATAAAATAAAATGGCTAGTTTGAACCATTGAAGTGGTGAAATGCTCCCAGTTCGGACCGGATTGCCCAAACTGGTAGCGATGGAAGCCGGTGGTTCAGAGAACCGATTGCAAAAATCCCTGCCCACCCACCCCGCATTGCCCAACTGAGCCGCGCGATCATCAGAGGCTTTTTTTTAATTTTTAAAAGCATTTTTTCTACAACCTCTTTGGCCGAAAAAATGCTTTTAAAAGTTTTTTTTAAAAAAGCCTCTGATGATCAGGCAGCTCAACCGGGATCATCAGAGGCTTTTAAAAGCATTTTTTCTACAACCTCTTTGGCAAAGGGTTTATAGAAAAAATGTTTTTAAAAGGAAAAAAAGCCTCTGCCGATCAGGCAAGTCAGCTGGGATCGGCCGAAGTGGTTGTAGAAAAAATGGTTTTAAAAGTTAAAAAAAAAAAGTTGGCCATGCCCACTCAGTCATATTACCACCACCACCCCACCAAGCCACGCCCACAGAACAGGTGGTAACAAATTTTACATTTCACCACTGGTTTGAACTCTATATGTGTCAGTCTGGTTGTTCGTGCCTCATACTCCAAAAGTGCTGGACACAGAAGAAAAATTTGAGTCACAAGAAGGCAGATTCCATGTGAATGTTGGAAAAAGGGTCAGCCTCATTGGATGCGTACAGCAATGGGTAGGCAACCTTCTCTCTGGGATGCTTAAATTTGGATTCTTCAAACGAGCAACGTTCAGGGACCAAATAGTCCCTTCAGCTTTGTGATTTTGATTCCGTGCAATTTTTTAGAAAATAAAAACAGTTGAGAATGATGAGTGAGTTTTCCTGGAGATAGTTAATGTATTCTTTTTAATGTATTTAAAAGGCTGCACCAGAGCCTTGGTGGTGCAGCGGACTAAGTGCTGTTATATAGCACTTAGCTGCCAGCTGCCTGCAATTAGTGCGAGTTCAAATCTCACCAAGCTCAAGGTTGACTCAGCCTTCCATCCTTCCGAGGTAGGTAAATTGAGGACCCAGATTGTGGGGGCAATAAACTGACTTTGTAGAAACACCACTTATGGGGGGGTCAAAAGCTCTAATAAGCAGGTATATACAAAAGAATGAAGGCTATTGCTATAAGTGCATTGTAAGCCGCCCTGAGTCTTCGGAGAAGAGCGGCATATAAATTGAACTAATAAATAAATAAATAAATAAATATTTTAAAAAATAAAGGTGGCCCATTTGGGGAAATTAGGGAGTGACCATTTGTGTTCTGATATATCACTGCTGAAATTCTGATGATATTTCCCTGGATAATGACTGTTTGAAGAACAACAGCCATTTTGTAAGAAAACCCATAGGAAGGAAATTTCTACCGCAGCACCAGTCATTAGAGACCATTTAATGTATATATATGCCTATTAATGAGGCTAATGAAGGGTAAACGTCACAAGCTACACAGATATGGTAGAGACCTTCTTTGTTCTTTGTTAGTTAGAGAACTTCATTAATTTGAGAATAATAGTAACCTACTATAGGTGTACTATTCACAAGTACACAAATGCTTGTGAAGAGTACACATATTCACAAGTGATTCCCAATCATTCCCAATCATTCACAAGTGACTAAAGTAGTTACTCACTTCTACATCTCAGTCACTCCATTTCTCAATCCAGTGATCTATTTAAAGAATGATAAGGGAAGGAAACTGTGAATAGGGGCCTGAAGAGAATGAAGCAACGACTGAGGTAGTGTAAACACAAGGAAGAAAGAAACAAGCCAAATTACTATACTGCATAAGAACTGGTTACATTTTTATTTCATTTGTCCCTTTAAACCCTTTGGCAATAAATCGGAGTGGAAGGCATGAAAAAAATAATGAGGGATTTATTCACATGCACAGACTTTTCTTCTTCATTGGTCATTAGGCGTTTCTCTCTATGACCATTGTCAGCAATGACACAGTTTGGAAGCACATGGGCACTGTGCCAATATCAGAAAATAATTCAGAAGAAATGCCTAGAACAGGGGTATATCAGGGTTGTGCTCAACCTCGGGGGGTGGGGCAGGGGTGTGTGGCCAGGGTGGGCGTGGCCAGCTCAATTTCACTCATGTTGGGGCACCTGTGGTGGCCTGAGCGCTCTACCAGTGAAAATTGGCTCTCAAATTCTGCTTTTGGCTGTGACGGCCTCCTGAAACCCTCTGCCAGCAAAAACAGAGCTCAGGAGGGCTGCATGCTCCATTTTCGCAAGCAGAAGTACCAGGTCCTTCACTGTTTCCAGGGTGGCCCCGTGGACACATCTAAGTACCTCAGGCCTTGAGTTTGACACCCCTGGCCTAGAACGATAAGGCCATTTGCTATGAACATCACCCCACACTGCTGTCCACATCACCTTCCACTTTAATATAGATGGCAAGTGCCCATGTGGATGGCCAAAGCAAAAATGGCAAGATACAGTAAATGTGAACATGAAAATTGACCAGTTTGACCCAGATGCTGCATTT